GTTGTTACCTGTAAGTTCCTTTACCATATACAGTAAAAAATGATATTACATTTAACAGTTTTAACAGTTAATAGTACATTTAAATGTTAAATGGTTTTTATAAGTTTGAATTACCATATTCTTTTATACATGTACTTTTACTAACATTTGCATAGACACTAAAACTTACAGCATCTAAATGTACGATACTGACGTTTTAACATCTAAAACAAATTATTTATGTATGAACAACTTTAAAGACTTACAAATGAATCCTTATGAGTATTGCAATTGTGGCATTAACATTTTAATTATATTGAATTCAGTTTTCAATCATATTTATTTATTTATAACACAGTTTACACATTTACTTAATGTTCTGTGATTTCTGCTGCCAGCTCATTTCGAAGGATTACATAATGTTTAAAAAGACTACATTTTAAAACTTTAAAATGAATAACATTTCTGTAATTGTTTAACCATTACTTATCATGTAATATTTATTTAGTTTGCCGTGGGACACAAAAGGCGTTGTCTGAGTCATGCCTCAGTCATTCTTAGTCAGCTCTCATGGAATGGATCGAGATAATATTTTCAACAATTAACAACTTAAATTGTGCTCTGTATCTCACACAAAATTCCATCAGAGATAACTGTGACTGCATCATTCAACCAGGGGCGTAGATTATGCGGGGGACGTGTCCCCCCCCACTTTTAATATCACGTAAATTCTTCCCCCGCACTTTTTCGAGCAAGTGTGTTCGCATAGAGGTTTTCAAGAGCCGGTGTGAATAAATATAGATTTAAATTCAAAGAGACAAGATAGTCTGTGCATGCTCTGATGTTTTATTCAGACCCAGAATAAGGCGAGATGAACATCGCGGAGCGCTAAACACTCTGTGCAGTGTATGTTTGACTATACACTACCAGTCAAAAGTTTTTGAACAGTAAGATTTTTAATGGTTTTTAAAGAAGTCTCTTCTGTTCACCAAGCCTGCATTTATGTGATCCATAGTACAGCAAAACAGTAACATTTGGATTATTTGGCTATTTCAAATAACTGTTTTCTATTTGAATATATTTTAAAATGTAATTTATAGTGATTTCAAAGCTAAATTTTTAGCATCATTACTCCAGTCACACGATCCTTCAGAAATCATTCTGATATTCTGATTTGCTGCTCAAAAAACATTAATAATAATAATAATAATAATAATTTAAA